AGGTAAATTTCTTTGCATGGTCAGCTTCAATTTAATCAAACGCAGTGCGAGTGGATGGATACATTGTGATCAATATGACAGATCGTATTTGATGACATCATGCGACTCTCGAAAAATTAATCTTCGAACAGCGTTAAATTTTTAATATTATTTTGAATACTTATTCGTTTTTGAAGATCTTACTGTCCGCTTAGCATGATTTTTGGACGATAATCTCTAGTAGCTTTGTATTATTTTTGCCTTTTAGTCAGCTACTCATACAGAGGGTAAGTGACAGGCTGATGCCGTGACGCTCGGTCGTACGTATGGCAGTCATCAACCCGCCTACAGCCACTCTCCATGCCATGGCTTCATGTCTCTTGTCAATATTCCTTGTGTCGTGGGGCTTGCCACGAACATTATTTAAATTAATAACAAATGAGAATGAATTTAAAATTTAGAATGAATGTTATTTTAATTTAAATTAAGAACAAATGACTCTACTGACGAATTGCAGTAGACTACTTAGTATTCTGGCGCTACCTATAACCCTTTCAACACTGTAGGAATAGGTTCCATGATCCGCTCTATGCGCGAAATACTTATGATAACACGGATTACTGATGAACCTGATTGATGTACAAAGAAGAGCAGGTTCTTCCATGAAAATTATGACATGATCTGAAAATTGTAAAGATTTATTTATAGATTAACGCTAAATACTTGTCTCGGGTAGAACAAACGTCCAACATTTCACCTGCACCATATGTCATCATCCTTCGGTAAAAATGCTGTGAATCTCGCTACTAGTAATTTAGGAGCTTTGAAGCTCCTAACAGTCCCAACAATAACAACACTACCAAATAACAACAATACAATAACAATAACAATAACAACAATAACAATAATCCCAGTCTCCATTCAATTAATTTTCTATTCTACCTTTAAAACTAATTCAAGTACCGGTACGTTATATTTACAAGTGGCATCAACTCTTTGACCAGCATAAGCTTTATGGGCGCGCGCGGCAGAATTAGTGCTGCAGCTGTAAGAAATGCCAGTTGCCCGCCATGATCAAAACAGAGCACATCATAGCTCTTCATTTGCTGGCTGTATACTAGCTCACGCGTCCATTGTTTTCACCAAAACCAGCAGTAACATAACTACGAAAATTAAAGCCAGTGTTTGTAGTCAGGAGCTGATATCGCTGTGCTTGAAAGATAAAAATAGACTTCCTTAGGATCCTATTTGGAATGAAACTCCGTCAGTTAGCAATTCTACTTTAGAAGAACGGCTCTTAAAAATTCAAGATAAATTACTATGAAGATCATCACTTTTTAAATGAAAATGCAAAAATTAGATAACTTATATTTAGTGTGAACAAAAATATCAGATTTTCAGAGCACGTAGCTCCTTGCATGCACGATGATATAAGGTCGATATATCTGATAAGGTTTATACACTTGATCAGCGTTTGTCATAAATGTATAAAAGTGCGTGCACTGTACTGATTCAGTGCACGGCAGCTGAATGCCATATTACACACTACATTATTTAAATTATGACCTGATAAGCCAAATATGCTGAGATCAAAGAATTTTCAAGAATGATAACAGAAGATGCTACCTCGTTAACATAAATTAATTGAATGCACGCCATTCATTGACCGTACTCGCGTGACGGCAACAGGCCATGGGCCTATTTTTTCAGTGCCGACACTTTTATTCTATTATTTTTAAGTCAAAGTTACGGATGTGCAGCGCAATACGGACAAAAAAAGTTGAAATTAAACTAAAATCTAAGAGACAGCCATTAAATACGAATCTCAGCTACGCGAAACTAGCATTTTTTAGCCTTGTCTTTCTCATTTTCATGAATACCAAACAAGAAATAGAGACAAACGTGCAAGTGTGGTTTACAAACCGATGATGACAGCAGTCCTATAAGCAGTAAGGGTTAACGGGTGTTTATCGAGCGCATGAATGAAAGATTCAAACAGTCGATGCGGTACGAACTAAAACTGCAGCTTTGCATGCGATATAAAGTTCTTTGGGAACTCTATTAGATGAGAAGCTGATTGCAATAATTTTCCAAACATTTCGAATAACAAAATAACATTTAAGCAAATGTGTCTTCAATATGAATCATTATGAATTGAAAAATACGTTTGATCAAATAAGGTTATAACGTGGGACCGAATTTTTGCATAAAAATACGAACTTAGTCGTTAAGTATCTACCGATATAATTTTACAAATCGATCATGATTTTCCGTAACACAAAACTAAGATTGTCCATTAATCGTTCTCTGAATCCGTCACTTGTATAGAATGAAGCCTGCAATTTTGGTTGCTTTGCTCGGAAGTCAAAGCGACTAGAATTTACGACGGTCATAGGCATTACGGTAGTCACTTCACCATCAATATTTTGAAATTCCCTCCTCCCGAATTCGACAGGAAGCAATACGCTCTTCTCTCGGTAGCATCGATTCGTCTCCGAGATGAAACAGACCGCGCTTTTTTTGCAGACCGCGTTACTACAACAGACCGCGTTACTACAGCAGACCGCGTTACTACAGCAGACCGCGTTACTACAGCAGACCGCGTTACTACAACAGACCGCGTTACTACAACAGACCGCGTTACTACAGCAGACCGCGTTACTACAGCAGACCGCGTTACTACAGCAGACCGCGTTACTACAGCAGACCGCGTTACTACAGCAGACCGCGTTACTACAGCAGANAACTTGGGATAGGCCAAAAATCGGACCCGGGTTGAAGTGTTGAAAATAAATGAAAATTTCTGCATCCCATCTGAAACACATGGAATAAATAAGTCCTAGGTACAATATTTATGATAATTCAACACGTTGTTATTGTGTTATTGTCGTTACTTGTTCTGCAATATAAAAGATTCATTATCTAAAAATAAGACGAGCAATAATAATAATAATAATAATAATAAATCAAGCGATGAAATCCGAGTAAAGCTTTGATGTGGTGTATATCACATTTTTTATTTTATCTAAGAAAAAATATTACTAACTTCTAAGAAATATAGAAGCAGATACGGGCAGTCCAGTTACGGTCATCGATTGCCAATGCGACACCGACAGTTTATTTTTAGAGCCAATTAATTGGAAGAGATCATGCCTTCTAATTAAGGAGGAGATAAGAGCCTTTCATCAACAGAAAGAAAATACGGTGAAGCCATCGCTTTTTACATCGAACATTGACAGTAATTTTGTATAGAATAACAATGAAACTAAAAGCTTACGTCGCAATCTCATTTATATCACGATAATGGAAAAAGATCCATCAATTTCATTCCTGCCAGTCTCACAGCAAATATTTGTTTGAAACATCTTGTCAATTGTCGCACTAAATTGCATACGTCAAGTGCAATGACGCGCAAAATGTTAATTGATGGCTACCAGAGATCTCCGGGTCAATGTCCAGTAAAGCTTGAGACCAAATTTACTGAAAGGTATACACACACATTCTCGTTCAATTAATAATTAATATAGAAGTAAGTGGCGCAGTACACATTCATACTACAATAAATTCAAACGCGAAACTCAATGCTAGTCTGGAGTTTATCAGACATTAGCCGGAACTTAGGACATGAGACACAGCGGAACAGGCACCTCCTGAAATCACAAGGAGCTGCAGAATGCAATCAAGCAATCGATTTATTTATTTGCAGTTAGTCATGAGCAATGGTTTTGTCGTACTTATGAACATGAGTAACGTCAATTGAAAAGCACATACTGTCTCAGGACGCATGACGTATTTACGCAGGAGTGACGTGACAAGGCGATCCATTTGACGATTGCCCGACTTTCTGGCGATTTGGTAAATATTTATAGAGAATGTTACGACGATCAATTTCTTCTTGAAAAGGTCAAAGAAAATTTCTAACATCAAACAGAGCAATAAGTTTACTTAGCTGCCACTTTTTAGTCACTGAATTAAATATCAACAATAACAGCTGGTAGAACTTGCACTAAACGAAATAGCGTAGACGAGAAAACAATAGCTTGGCAGAAAAATCTGACACAACAGTTAAAGTTTGCACCTGCAATATCGCGAAATTTGTACAAATTATAGAAACTGAATAAAATGGGCAAAGGTAAGGTACAAGCTAATCAGAAAAAAGACTTGAATTTTTCAATAGAAGTAAAATTCTCAGACAATAATGCTGAAATACTGCAGCATCAAACAGAATCGCTAATGCATATTTTATTAGCAAACGAAGAAGCTATTCTTAGTAGATTAAAAAAAAACAGGGACCGCTGCAACAATATTTGCTCCGATAGTAATTTAGTTGCTTGACCTAAGCGAACAAAACACTGAATAGTCAACAGCATGACAAGGGTGAGAAATCCACTGGGAATAATCGACAGGACCTTAGCAAGCTGCTGCATTTCTTCAGGGATTTGTGACGCAGGGGTCAACCGTGGTGAATTCAGCAGCGGGAACTTCGGTAATCGCACGTATGAGAGTTCAGGGAAGAAAGTTATGCCCTAGTGCTTCGTGCATTAGCATTGCTATGAACCACTACAGGATGAAGAGTTTTTTTTAAAAGAGGCATGAGGTTTCAGGAACGCTGGGTATGCATTTAGAGAACGTTTCTCGGAATAGAAATAAAACTTAGCAGCCTCAGCACGTTTACCACGCAGTCACTTGAGAGTGGAGCTAAACGTACCTAGTGAAATGAATATTTGAACTTCTATGTTACTGAGACGAAGCAACACACGCTTCACCGATGGAAAAAACTCTAAAGCTATTGTCATCTTCAGGCATACTTCTTGCAATGTCACTTCATACATCTGGCAACTGTCCAGTAAAAAAAAATTCACATTCAGGGATATAGTACCCTACTCTAAGCCATCTATACTCCACAAACATCGCCACCAATTCTTTCATTCTAAATTTAACTTCAGCCAAAAATTCCTGGTGGAATTGGTTCCTTATTTGGCTGGTTTATTGGCATTTCTTGAAATTGTAATATGAAATACCTCTTTGCCAATTCCTTTACGGCCAGGAGCGCCGTTGGCGCTAGGGACGCTCTGCATGCCGTTGGTGCTGTGAGTGTGAGGTCCTTCTTCGCGGTCTTTGTTCGACTCTTGGTCTAGCGACAGCTTCAGTCCCCAACGAAGGGTCTCTCTCCTTTCCTTCGTAGACCTGTCATCGGTCCATCCCGACTGTCCATCTTTTGGATCCCAGACCGACGTACGCGGACCGTCTTTACCGGTTTCGACGAGAAGTGCGTTGTGGGGACTAGAGCTGTCACGTGGAGTCACTTTGTCACCACTCATGCTGCCTACTAAGCCTCCAACACGAACCATTCGGTGCTGTAGGCCACCACTTCAATTCTTCACCAACTCACTCAAGTCTAAAAGTTTACAATCAATTGCATACTTCAGCAAGCGACGTAAAAGAAAGCCCACGCGCTGAGCAGTAGAAACCTCGGCACAAATTGATTCTTGAGGACGGGAAAACTTTCAAGCTCTTTGATTGGTTCTATCAACTAGAGGCTTTATATATACGTGCCCCAGAGCAGAGATGATTCTAGGGGAGCGGAATTGGTAAGGCTAAATAATCCTATACCGCAAAGCTACTTCACATTGAAAATCTCAACAATTCCATCGCACGAGATCTCAACCAAAATAAACGATCTCATTTTCAGGACGACAACCGTGCACACACTTGGTAAAAATTCTAAAAATACGATCGCATGTAACAATAAGAGTGTTACCGATATTGGTCCCTTAGCTGAGACGAACGAAGTCGGCGATTAAGTGCTGCTTATTGTGAGCAAGAAGCCGACTAAGAGGCAACAGAAGTCACAGGTATATATAGGGAGGGTGCAAGTAAAGGCATATAGGAAGGAGAATATATAGAAGGCTTAAATGAAGGCAGCGATATAGTTGGCGGGCGAAGCACACAAGCTACTATCAGAATATTGACGAAACACCAAATATTTCGTTCGTTGACAGTTCAATGTCAACATCCTTAGATCACAGAACATTTACACGAGAAGATTCAACACGACAGTAATATATTTGCAACTATATGTTCTTCTAAGAACGTATAGACCAGACAGAAAGAACTTCGGATGGTTTAACTGTGATTACATTCTCTCAAGTATATGGCAGCGCTGTTCGACGACTCTAGTACACAAACAATTAATAACTGGCCACAAAATTTCAAAGTTTTTCATAGAAAACAACACTGATGAATACTTCATCAACTACACAAAAATTAAACCACTAGTAACTAGAGTTAGCGATATTAAAATTGAAGCCGCGTCTGTGACGAGCTACAATATGAATGTATGCACTTCGATTAGTTTTCAGGCTCCACACGCCTACACCACATGCTGCTGAAATACACGCGTACATATCATATTTAGTGATGATTTACTATACATCATCTGCTCGTTCAAAACTTATTGCGCTTACCGTTGGGTTCACTTCAAACTACATTCAAATTGTCTAACAGCTAGACGGAAATTTCGATGCAAGATTTGTGATATAGGCGTTAAAAAATGTCACAGCACGTATAGCACTTTTCATTAAAGAATACGATTTATAATTTCCAGTAGCCACTACCTAAAAGACAGAAGGGATCCTACTTCTGCAACAAAAAGATAACAAATGAGTCTGGTGTGAACCTGCTAAATAACAATTGAAGCTCGATATTCCGTCGGTCAAACGGACGGTACCTAATTGCAGACTGAAATGCAATTTACGATATTTAAGGCAGTTCACTTACGCTCACAATCTATCACAGTCTCATAGGACTGATATTCTATATATACTAAAATACTACGGTATTCACTAAAACAATAAACGCAACCGTAAAACGCTATAAAGAAAATGGCGCGAAAAGATCATTCCTGTTCTACACCATTAGTGTCGCAACAGTCCCGCAACACGTAATATTCCACTGCAAGTATTAATCGAAACAACTCGAAAACTCCAACTTAATATAGGGCATGATAGAGCTTTGTAAGATTTTTTAACACACTTCAACATGCAATCGATTAGATCAATGTAGATCCGTTAGAAGTATCTATAATTAATGAAGCGACCTCCAAACTTCGGCAATAGAATGGACTAACTAATCGACGATTAGTCCAGAATCCAGACCGGAGTTAAAATTATTCGGTACATTTTCATGTTGTCACTAAAACGGCTTTATGAACATTTCATGACGTAGAATTTTCTGAAACCTCGGTTCTACTCTGATATTTCACACAACTTCAGAGAATCTAAGATATCCCAATTTTCACTAATCGTAACTACGCACAACAAATGCGCTCTCACGGCCGAATCACTCAAGTCAGTACGAGATTAGGTACAGCCAAATCTGGACAGGCACTTGGCGCTAGCTCAGCAGGCGCGGTTAGTAATGCGACGTTACCGCAGCACTGCACGACTGCGTGGCAGCACAACCTCCCTACGCTGCTGCCTGGAAGAGACTCCAGTGTTTGCTGCTGGCTTGTGTTGGGTATTCTAGCTCCGGAAATTCATGCCCCGCCCCATTGCTTGAGGGGGGCACTGCTACGGGGGTCATGGGCTTCAAAAATTGGGGGTTGTCGTATTGATAAGAAAATGACGTTTCACTTGAAATAGTACAGATACACAAGCATAACTTTTATATAAATATGGAAAAATCGTTGTGAAAAACTTAAAAACGAGGCGAGCCTTTCCTCCGAAGCTATCATCTTTAAAAGATGAGCTTCGCGGATCAGCAGCCTCATGCGCAATAGCGACAAAAACAAGAAAACCGAGCGAATTTAATACCCCATGCAATGGGAAGGGAATTTCTGGGAAACTATTGAATGCGGCCGTCATACTCGAGTGTCTGTTGAACCGGCGCGGGCGAATTTAAGAAACTGTGCACTCTAGAAAACGCTGGACTCGTACCCTATATGGGCATATTTCTTGTTCATTAATTGTCGATCTTTTTTATTCGTAGGTGATACACATCAATGAATGAAAAAAAGAATCTACAATTCGCGGCGAAAAATATTAGGGTAGCTAGCTAGTATGCACCAAACTTTGCTTAAAAAACAGATTAGGTATTTTGAATGAAAGTGTTTAGGATTATCGAATAATTTCAAGCCAATAGTGTCATGGGTCATCCATCGGAATTTACGTTCCACCGCATAATTAGACTTACGGCGCACCATTACCACGGCATAAAAAAAATTGTTAAAAATAAAATGTAAGTTGGAAAAGAGAGGAACTTAACTTCTCAAGTTGTTTGCAAGTAACAGGAAACGGATCACGATGACGTGGAAGCATTAAAATCACAAAAAGAGTAAAGAATAATTTTAGTGCTGCCGGAGCAGCACCGGGTGGCCTGGCTAAAGACGGTTTCAGACTAAAGCAAACCTCACGCAGATGCGGTCATGAATTTGCGAGGATTTTTTTTCCTAGCAAAATTCCGGACTAATTTTGTCAAATATTGTTGAGGTCACAGTTTAGCGGGTTAATATTTGAATACTTTTTATGCTTTGGCTGAGTTTATTTGAATATTCAATTCTGCCCTCATTAAATTTTCTGGGTGAACCATGATAACGCAGAGATGCTGTGTCGTAATTTATTAAAAAATTCAGCGGTAGCTAGTTTGCTCGCGCAGCTTTCATCTGACAATCTGCAGAGTAATGATTGTAGAATCTTTATAGGGTGACAAAAATTTTAAATTGAGTAGGCGGACTTCGCACACCAAAGAGAATTGTTTCGAATTAACGCAACACTTTAAAACGTTAATCGATCACGGTAACTCTAGGACAACTAAATGCACAAATATTGAGGAATAAATAACGTACAATGGATTAAGTATTGCACAATCCAACAGAGACGATATAGGCAGCACAGCTGAGCCGGCGGCGGCGGCTCTCTGAGAGCGGGCGAATCCTGCATTGCGGTAGAAGAGAGGCGAGGGCACCAGCCCTTAGCCGCATGGTTCTGTGACAACCACGCAGTCATGCAGCACGCAGTCATGCAGCACGCAGTCATGCAGCACGCAGTCATGCAGCACGCAGTCATGCAGCACGCAGTCATGCAGCACGAGTCATGCAGCACGAGTCATGCAGCACGCAGTCATGCAGCACGAGTCATGCAGCACGCAGTCATGCTGCAGTCATATCACTATTATAAACGCACCACTCATTCAGGCCACTATTATAAACGCATCACGCATTCGTGTCACTATTATAAACGCGCCACGCAGTAATTTTAATAATGTACGCTCCACGCAGAATACGTGGAGCCCACATCAGGTTTGACACGTTTCACTCAACTGCGAATATTCAAAAACGCGTCTGAACAAAATCGAGTCTTCACGATCAAGTTTAGGTCTAATCTAAATCCTTTACGACGCCCAAAGATCGAGTTGCAAGACTTGCAAATCCAACAGATCAACAGAGATGCATTCTAGTTAAATAAAACTGTTGAATCCAGCTTTGCACCCATCGGTACACCGTCTCCAGTGAGCGGTATCAAGAAGCGTCTTCCGTGTGTACTTAGAATGAACAAACCTTAAAATTATTTAGTACACAAAACCAACAAACAAACAGCATTTTGGCAAGAGAAAATCCCGTCATGCAGGATGTAAAAATGAATAGCCAGAAACTCCGCAGTTCCTTCATATATGTTCTGTGACAAAGAAACAATTAATCAGGTTTAATGTTAATTAAAGTGAGAAAAAAGATTTCATAAACTCTTCACCAAATTCACAACACGAGAGGATTATGCGTATGTATAATACTGAGTAAACAAATTACATGATGATACAGATGGCAAAACTCACTCCGGAGATACTACACATGTGAAAGACAACAACAGAATTCTAAAGATAATTCACTATCATTATCACTCGTCAGTCGTCACCAGGCACAGTCCAAGAATATAAGAGACGAGCTAGAATCAAGAGTATGAATGATACTCCTAATGTGGTACGATTTTATGACGACAATTCTCAAAAACTCATCGAGTCTAGCCGAGAGAAAGAAACTAGTTAACGGATGAAATATCCGCATTCTCAATATTTTTCCAGATGAAACTTTTAAAGCGTAGAATAGATAGAGAGCGTATATTACCAAGTACAAAGCAAGTTTCAGCAGAGACCAAAATAAGTAGAGGAATACGGGTATGTGGCATGCCAGGGTCTGTTTAAAATGCACCGCCGTACGCCCAGCAATTACACGAGGCCAGTTCATTAGAGCCCAGCCAGGGACGCTCGACACCACGCAACCAAAAATCTTATGAGTAGAAAGTGAATCCTCAAAGTCATCAGAGCATTAAATTTCTTAATTTGCACAGATTCAAAAATTAAATATCAAAAACAAGCATGCTAATCTGAATTAACTACAAATTGTAACAACGGAGATACGGATTATTCCACAGTACTCCGTTTCATGGATGAATCTGATTTTAAAATTCTAAGAGTAATGAAATAACTGAGATTTAACGTCTAAATGGTAAAAGTGAATCCAAAGTGCCAGAAAAAATCTAAACCCTTGATGAGAAAAAAAGTACCCTTGAGAAAAAAAGCACCTTGCACTCCAGAATGGTCTAAAACAGAAATTTGTATCAACATTTATGCCACGGCATTTCCACTTGCTGTCAAAATAAAATTGCATATTTCTAGCGAGAACTATTTACCATCTGATGATTTACTTTCAACGCCTCCAGAAACTCGATATGCATTCGCGATAAAAAAAATTTTGCCCGAAAAAATGTATGCAATATTTTCTTGGTTTTCACTTGGAGCAAACGAGAGCCAAATTAGAGGGCACTCATAAATGGGCACTATTGGGAAAAAGAAAGCAGGTTTTTGAATACTTCGCTTCACGATCACCCAGACTTGAAGACGAGTCGGCATTGTCAGTCCTTTTAGGGAAAAGATGAAGGATAAAATATATATTTAAGCCAAGGACTACTACACAGTAGTAGTCCTTGATTTAAGCAAATAAGAAAAAACTCGAGAGCACTAGGTATGATTGGTGAACAGTTGGAGTCGATACAGCGCAGCAGGAAGTTTAAAATATCTCACAGGTCTCGAAGCAAATTCTGATAAAATATAAGGTTTATTTGTAAACTGTGTCCCTGTAATGCAACAACCAAACCAAGAGAAATTTCCTATTGCATTTCATTTTGTATTGTCTCAAAGACAATACAAAATGAAATGCAATAGGATTTATTTACCTACCCAATTCACTGAGTAATGGAAGTTAAATCAACAAACTACACCACGATGAAGGTAAAAAAATTTGCACAGTTCCAATGAGACATCTTCGCTTCGATTTTTTTCCAATTCGTCGAAACGACACTTTTGCTACGAATTCGCCGAAACGTCATTTTCCGTGAAAAAAAACTCACAGAGCACGTAAAAATATAGAGCAATTAAACCTCAATTTTCGCGCCATCCGATCTATCACGATTGAAAATATGCCCAACTTGGGAGACGGATAAAACTCCCCCATCATTAAGATTCGAGGTGATAATGAACTTTGTTTGCATTCTTCTAAATACTAAATTACTAAGATTTAAGACTCTAAATATTTAGACCTTCAAATCACTTCGTTGCAGTGTCATTTCCAGCGTTTCATTTAGTAATTTAAA